CTAGTCGGCAGCTAGCTCTCTGCAACTCTCACATGGTCGCCCACTGAAGCTAAGCAGGGCTGCGCCCGTTCAGTACCTGGATGGGAGACCACATGGGAAAGCTAGGTTGCTGCAGGTAGTGGTGCTAGTGAGGCCAGCAGGGGGTGCCCAACCTGCGGTCTGTGTGAGTCCTAATGCCCCAGTATAGTAATGGGGACTCTATACTTGAGTGCCCAGAAAAGTGCTATATAAATGTAAGGAATTATTAATTATTATCATTATCTATTGCATTTTTTTTTTTTTGCCTTTGTCCTCTTTTTGGATTTAGTTAGATAATATAGGCATCAAACACATCTTTCTTTTTATCTATTCAGATAGCGACTAAATATGACTAAATACACATATATAAATAAATAAATAAATAGACTGCATTACATGTACTATTTTCGTGAACTGCACTTTCTCTCTGCTGCCCCCTATTTTACTGTCTGGTATCTCTCTGTCTCTCGTTCTTTTTCTCCCTTTCTGTGTGTCTCACTTGTTCCGCATTTAACCACAGTCACCGGTTGCTGTCCCAGAGCACTGCAGATGTCTGAGTCAGCAGCTGCTGCAGTAATGCCAACAGACAAATACACACACAAAAGCGACTGTGTTTAACTAACATACGTCCTCTATCACACTCTTGAGTGCTCCATATGGTGAGCATTAATGCCGTTTCCTCCTGGGATGATCCTGATGTCTTGATGCATGCGCTTCAATCCTGTAATCGCCCATATTCACACATCAGTCGATTCTCACATGCTGCGTGTCACATTGACGGTTGAGTCAAATAGTGATTTGCATGAGTTTCAGGGTGTTTTTCTCTCTATGTCTCCATTAGCAGTTGGCTGTGCTGCAGCAGGGCTTCTCTCATTGCTGATGCAGCATTTCTAGGCACATTCATATTCTAATTTCACTGCTGTGCTTTAAGAGTTCCCTTCAAAACTTCATGAAGGTCGTTGCACTTAGTTAAGCCTGAACCGGAGATATGATATAGTTTCTGTGGTGCTACACATAATTATAAACTAATATATCTGTTTTACACTGGATTAGTTGGAGTTTTTCACAGTTGATTTTATAGTAAAAAAATATGTTCTGTACACACACACATTTTTTATATATGAAACATAAAATAAGTGTATACGTTTATAAATTGATTCACATAAAGCTGAATAAATCATTGATGTATGTTTGTTAAGATAGGATAATATTTGGCCTAGAAACAACTATACTTGAGTATAAAAAAATCTAAATACTGATCAAAGCCTTCAGATTTGCCCAAATTAAATTATTGGCAATGCATATTACTAATAAAAATGAAGTTATTATATAATTTAAAAATATTATAACTTTGCAAAATATACTCATGAACATAATCTTTACTTATATTATATTGATGTTCTACACTGAGAAAAATTGTTAATTGGATTTACTATGTTTACTATGTTTTAAAGTAAGTGGTTGCAAATCAGTTCGTAAATTTTTTTATTTTTTTATTTATTTTTTTAAAACAAATTATATTTAGGCCCAATCCCAATTTTGTTTTTGTACCCCTACCCCTTCCCCTTGGCCCTTAAACAATGTTTGAAGAGGAAGGGCTTCAAATTTTACCCCTAAGAAATGGGACACCTCTACAGCTGCACACATTATTATATGTCATTGTGATCTCTTACTTAATATAAGATTGACGATGACGTCTGCTGTAGTTTTTTCAGTTGCGTTATTTTTTGGCATTTATCTTCAGGAAGTCACTGAAGGCATATATTATGTTATCATAAAGATATAATGGGGCAATAAGCTTGTAACTGTACTGTGTATTTATACCATGGACATCTAAGCAAACGAAAACAATGTTAACATTATACCTGACACTGTAAAAAGGTCATTTCCAGCCACTAGACTTTTCTGACAGGGGAATCAAGTGTCAGATGTGAAAGTATGTTGTGGGACTGCTATACAATAGTTATTATTATGGATTAAGAATAGCTAAATGTATCTGTTATTGTTTATCTGGCTTTCTAGCACTTACCCCTTAGCCCTATGCCTTTAAGCTAAAGAGAATTGGGACACAGCTACCCCTCCTTTTGCACATTCATGTGAAGAGGTAGGGGTGTCCCAGTTCTCTAAAGTAAGGAGAAGGGGTTAAGTCTGATTTATACTTTTGTCTGGCACCGTGTCGCGGACTTCCGCTGACTGTGTGCGCATCTTGCAAAACGGACGAGGCTTTTATACTTGCTGCGTTTGCCGTTGTGATATTGACCATAAAATCAGATGGATAAACAGAGAAGTAGCTGTACACTGTTTTTTTATTATGACAAGAATACAAGAAAAAAAAGTACTCTTAATGAAAAATTCAGACTTTTTTTATTTAGCCCACTCAATATTCACACATTACTGTCTGGCTAGTTTCTGTTCTCTTCTTATGCTAAAAAGGCAATAATGTTTCAACATTCCTGACCATTATCACAAATAAAGCCTATATAAACAGGGCATTAACATATTGTAAACCGATAGGTTCAAATATTTCTTTCCAGTTATCAAAGAAATAATATGTGACTTCATTTCACAAACATTCACCAACCGCCTGGGTCTCCACTTTTGCCATGGCCTCTCTTTTTGGTTTTAACAAACTTATCACTCAAGTTTTTTAAACTTTTACAAAAACTTTCCTCTTTTCCAACGGTTGCAATTTCTAGCCAAGATTTATTGTCCATCAGGTTCTTTCTATGATCTTGTGTGGACGAATCATAATGATGTCTGTACAGGCATACCTGTTTTAGACAAAACTTTTTCAAAGGGATTCATATTCAACGCTGCGCTGTGTGAACTGTTCGCTTCAGTGCAAAAAAATGGTGCACTCCGCCAGCCGAAATCATCTCTCGCACAACCAAAGTGAACATCTGCAAACACAGTGATGACATCACATTCGACGCACGCACTCAAGCAAACTAGGGGACGCGTCGAGTATAAACCAGACTAAAGAGGTAGAATTAGGATTGGGCCTTAGTAATTTCAACTTAATTTGTTTGTTAAATTCAACCCATATGAATTATTTGTAACTAGTTACCTTAAAAATATTTAGTAAATCCAACGAATAATAATTATTTTAGTTTAATATTATTATGATTTTTGGAATAAAAATATAGATATTTTTGGTGAAGAAATTTATATATAAATTATAATATTTTATTTCCTGAAGAAGGACTTCTTTCTCAAGAATACGAACACAAATTTCTAATTTTTCTTTTTTTTTTTAAATGTAAACACAAATTAATCATTTTCATACCATTTTTTGTTGAAGCACCAGCATTCGGAAGCCATCAAAATGTCATCAGAGCCTCAGCTTATACACAGCACTCATTATGTGAACATTACTATGCAAACTAGCTCACAGAATGGGGTTAGTAAAAATAGCTTCAGATGAGTTCTTGTGTTTAGATCCACACAATGCAGAATGTGCCTACATTATAGGACACGCATTGAATGAAGTCATTCCTTTGTGTGCCAACATGCATTTCTCTAAGATGTGAATAACATTTCTTCCTGATTTAGGGTGCCATTTGGTTTTTATTTAAAGTTTGAGGTTTGTAAAATAAGGTTTTTTTTTTTTTTTTCTTGGATTTGTACTGATTTGTATGAATGTTTGTGTTCTGCTTGCCATTGGCTCGGCCAGGGTTCTTAAAGTCGACATGAAATCAAGTTTATCAATGAATATCAATATTTTTAGGATGCTGTTTCATGTATAAGATGCTATAATGTGAAAAATATATTTTTTTAAATTGTTGCAAATTTCATTCATTTTCTTTTCAGCTTAGTCCCTTTATTAATCTGAGGTAGCCACAGCACAATTAACCACCAACTTATGCAGGATATGTTTTATGCAACGCATGCCTTTCCAGCTGCAACCACTGGGAACTTCCATACACACTCATTTACACACATACGGCCAATTTAGCTTAACCAATTCACCTATACCACACGTCTTCGGACTTGAGTGGGAAACGCCGGAAACACCAACTGACTCAGCCGGGGCTCGAATCAGCAACCTTTTTGCTGTGAGGCGATTGTGCTACCCACTGCACCACAATGCTGTCCCTGTTGGACATTTATTAAAAATAAAAAAAACCTGAAAAATCACAATCTCTTTTTTCACATTGTTATTATGGGGTATTGTGTGTAGAATTTTGAGGAAATTAATTAAATTAATCCTTTTTGGAATAAGCCTGTAACATAAAAAATGTGGAAAAAGTGAAGCGCTATGAATACTATAACCTGTACATTTGTACTTGTATAGAATGAAACAAACAGGTGACACTGCATATTCGCTCTGCCTTTTTTTTTTTTTTTTTTTTTTTTTTTGTGCATGATCTGTTTAAATCTGTCAAAATTAGATTAAACTGTGTTTCTGACCTCAGGTGAGAGCTGTAAGTCCAATTTGTGATGTATTTCTTGTGAATGTATATTGAGGCTGAGGATTCAGGAAATAGAGTCATTAAATTATTTTTGCAATTTGCAACCATAGTCAGTTAACAATGCTGTTGGGAAATGCACCTCATAACAAGCGTGTGTTTAAAACTGGATTTTCACCAGGGAGGTTTGAATAAATGTGTTAGTGACTGGGAAATTTGTTTTATTACAGAATATTTTTTAAAGTAGAGCTATTATAAAAAAGTTTGTGAGGAATTTTACAAGTTTGGGTCATTCGTGGGAACACATTCATATTTAATGTTCAGTCCCCTCAGGGAAGAGAACAAATGTGGAGTGTGAGGTTTAGAGGTGGAATTTAAGTAAACCTTAAAATAGCTGGTGCTCAGGAAAAAAGAGCACGTCCCAAGAGATTCTGCACTCCGGCACAGAGAGAGAACATTCATGACTCACTTCCACTGCTCTGTCATTTCCTCATTGCTTTGTTATTAATTTGCTTAATAAGGGTTGCAGGAAACAAAAGTTCAGACTGATTTTTGACTCTCTGTCTCTCTCAGATGGTAAAGTGTATGCGTTGGGTGGAATGGGAGCTGACACGACCCCTCAGGCCACAGTGAGACTGTATGAGGCGACGAAGGACCAGTGGCTGCCCCTCACCTCTATGCCCACCCCTCGATACGGAGCCTTCTCCTTCCTGCGCGGAAACAAGATCTACGTCCTGGGTATGACCTCCTAAAATGATCTCAGATATCTGATTAATTCTGTTGCTAGCCAGACACACAGTCTTAGTTCCCTAGGAGTAAAAAAGACGTGACCGAAAACTAAATTTAAAAAAGGTCAGAGAGGCTGGAGTGTCCAGTGCGAAAACATTTGTTTAGTGTTAAAGGGTATCCCAGTTTTGACTAAAAAACTTTCTTTGCAGCTGCTGAACTAGAACTTCGTCATTTTAAAAGAACAGGAAAAGACATAAAGCACTTTTTTAAGAAATATGACGGTGGTTAGGTAATGAGTAACATAGTATTAATTTGAATGGCTAAACAAATAATTGTAAAAAAAAATAAAATAAGCACCTATCACAGACCTGATTTATATTTCGTACAGTTGACTGGTGATGATCATGCCACAGACCAACTCTGTTATATGCCCCTAAAAGAGCCCCTATTTTGCATAATAAAAGGTTATATTTTGGTTTTGGGGGTCTCCAACAACAGGCTGATATGCATGTAGGGTCAAAAACACTGTCATTGTCTTATAATATGCATTTATTTTTGCCTAATTATCCCAACAACTCCCATATGATTTGTTTAGCAATTCTTTTCTTCCAAAACCCCTCATTTGCATGAGGCGAATTCTGTGCTTATTGGTCCGATGACCTAGTCTGTTGTGATTGGTCGATTGAGTTTCAGTATTAATGCACACAGTGGCAAAAGTTGAACTATTTTGAAAATTGACCGTGTGTAGGAACAGCTGATGGTGGCCATAGCAAAGACAAACGGCAGAGGATCATGAGTTCAGAAACGCAAAGGAAGAAGCACGCATCGCATTTTCAAAGTGAATTTGGACGCAATATGTGAATAGCTATACAGTATGATCTATAATAGATAAGTGATTACCAGCCGCGCGGATCGATTACAAGTTACAACACACTATTAAATACATATTTTGCAAACTGGACAAAATGAGGCAACTATTTTAATTACAATTACGTGTTATGATCCGGAAGAAGAAGAAACTGGTCCATATGAACTGTAACAGTTACTATAAATAATAGTCTCTGCTGCTCCTTTCTTTAATAGCAAACAGCCAATAAATTCTGCGTTGCAGCGTAAGTTATTGTTTAAAAAGTCTGAAAAATGACAGGAACAAACACATCACTAGGTTTTCTATTCTGTGGCATTGTTGTGAAAATGAACTTTAACCCTTTATTCCCCGCAGCCGACTCTTCATTTGTCAGTGATCATCATCTTCTTGTCATGATCAGTCCTGTGATCCTTTGTGCTTGCTAGTGTTTATAGGGAAAGGCGAGTTCACATTTTAACCAGAACCGGCACTTCATATTTGGTGATGTACAGTATCGACATGGATGCGTTCAAGTAAAAGATCTGAACCCAGTATAATTCATTTATTCGACTCAGAGTTGATTATTTCGTTAAAGAATCAGTAGTTTTAAACACAGTGCACTTTCAGATTTAAGCCTCAGCTAAATATTTCACTTCACTTAGGTCATTTTCCAAAACCCATAATAGGGGCTCTTTGAATGTGACCCTGGAGCACTAAACCAGTCTTATGTTGCACAAGTATATTTTTGCCATAAATACATTGTCTGAATGAAAGTTAATGATTTTTCTTTTACGACAAAAAATCATTAGCATATTAAGTAAAGATCATGGTCAACAAAGATATGTCAATTTGAAAAGCCAAAAACAAAATTTCTGAATAGTAAATTATGAATTACTAAGAACCTAATTTGGTGAAGAACTTAATTAACTTTAATAGTGGTTTTATCAGTTTTTAAATTGTTTTGAACTCCCAGATTCCAGATATTCAAATCAAATTATATCTCTGTCAAGTATTATCAGACACTAACAAATCATCACGCATCAATGGAAAGCTTATTTATTTATAATCAGATTAAAATCATAATCATCTAACCGCCATCATATTGCTTAAAAAGTGCGTTATGTTTTTTCCTGTTCTTAAAAAACTTTAAAGCTCAAGTTCAGTAGCTGTAAAAAAAATTTTAACATTAAACAAATGTTTTAGCACTGTTTAGCCTCTCTTTTTTAAATTTAGTATTCGGTCATGTCCCTTTATTCCTACAAAAAGTCATGACATTTACTGTATGATTTGTTTTGTGGTCCAGGGTCACAACTGAAAGCTATTGGGTTTTTAGCCTCATATCTGTATCAAATAATATGAAGTTACAGTAGATGGCTCCTAACAATCAGGAAGATGGAGGCAGAGAATAGACTAACTTTCAAAAACTTTAATAAATGAGCACAAAACAAACACACAGGTGACACTAATTAACACTTGCACCACCAGCCTCGCCACACACAAAGGCTGTTTTTAGCCCAAATAGTATGAGTGCAAATGTGATATTGATTTTTATACAACAGAAACATAAATATTAAAAAATGTTGTTAACCAAACTGTTCTGGCTACCATCGACTTCGATTATGTGAACAAGAAAAATACAGAGACGTTTTTCAACTGTGATGATCTATTATGTTTGGCCATTGTAATGCTGTTGAAACTCTGATTGAGTGTTTAAACACTTATTGCAAACATAATTGAATTCAGCTTTTTCTCTCTTATGTAAAGCCATGGATAAACATGGATGATTGAAAATGCTAAATGATATTTGTTTCAGTGTCTCATCACCATTATTAAAGTTTGCTTATCACAGAAATTAGGAAAGAGTGCATTAAAGAAACACAAACTTGGGATATTGTGTGCTTCATTACAGTACAAACCATTTTGCAGCTTAATCTTTTTGTGGCGGATTCATGATTAGAAATTTCTTCAAAGGAAATCGTTTGCATCATTATAAATGTCTTTGTCTTTCCTGTCAATTTTAGATCACTTTAATACACCCTTGCCAGTTTTTCAAACAAGTAAGATGTAAAATGATTTTGTTAGGTATTGTTGAAAAGGAATGGAAATGTGGGCTTTCTCCCTAGTGGTTCTTAGCAGACGGTGTACTGGACTAGCCAGTAATTGTAATGCATCTTATTTTGTGTGTCAGACTGTGTCACAATATCCTCCAGCAACAGCAGATGTGGTAAAAAAAACACCTGGTAATTGTTCGTGTCGTGCCAGGGCTGATAAGAACTGTGGAGTGCAGTCATTCCTCAGTGGGGGAAGTGGAATCTGCTCTGCAATATGCTGCAGGGATCTGACGCTTTACAGCAGAGCTCTTCGCTCCTTACTTCCGTCTTAGAAATCACAAAGGAACATTAAATGAAAACCTGTATCTCAGCTTACCATTATACACTCAGTTTGTCCTCTAAAAGAACTTCAGCCCTTGGCTGTATTGGGCTTAGTGAGAGACACAAATGCAACCAAATGCTAGCTGTATGCACTTGTTTTGTTTTGTGTCTGAGGAGGCTAATAATTATGTTTTAAATTCTTGTTAGTTTTAAATCTTTATTTAGTTTTTCCCTTAAAAAGATGTCAAAATCAGCATTGTAACAATTAAATATGTATTGCTCCATGCATTTTAATTGGTTTGTTTCTATATGTTTTCAGTGTTGCATTTTAAAGTATGAACTAGCATTTGCTTTGTCTTTAACCATTAAAATTGTGTCTGCATGTTTTCTACACTGCATGATTTGGTGTATATTTTTTCCTCTTCCAAAAATTCCTAAACAAATAATTCATGGATTATGCTTGTCAAAGAAAATTGTATTCTATGGAGTAAATCTAGGGCCATATATACTTGCAAAATAAAAGAAAGTTTTGCAAACAAAAAATAAAGTATTAAGCTAAAAATAGCTCAATGCCGGCTGCTAGCTCTCTGTAGCTCTCACATGGTCGCCCACTGAAGGTAAGCAGGGCTCCACCCGGTCAGTACCTGGATGGGAGACTACATTGAAATACTAGGTTGCTGCTGAAAGTGGTATTTGATGAGTATTAGTGGTATTTGTGCGTGTGCGCGTGCGCGCGTGCGTGCGCGCGTGCTTGCGTGCGTGCGTGTGTGCGTGTGTGTGTGTGTGTGTGTGTGTGTGTGTGTGTGTGTGTGTGTGTGTCTGTGTGTGTGTGTGTGTGTCTGTGTGTGTGTGTGTGTGTGTGTGTGTGTGTGTGTGTGTGTGTGTGTGTGTGTGTGTGTGTGTGTGTGTGTCTGTGTGTGTTGTGTGTGTGTGTGTGTGTGTGTGTGTGTGTGTGTGTGTCTGTGTGTGTGTGTGTGTGTCTGTGTGTGTGTGTGTGTGTGTGTGTGTGTGTGTGTGTGTGTGTGTGTGTGTGTGTGTGTGTTTGATGGTTGGTCAGAGTGTTATTGTGCCCATGGGTTTGATGAGCTTGTGGAGTTGTTGTCAGTATGGGGTTTTGTTTTTGGCAGACTTGTCCTCTTTCTAACCTCACTGCACTGTGCCTCGCAGTCCAGGTCCAGGTCAGACACAAAGATCAGCTGCCCTCTCACTCTTTCACAAGTCATTATAACTCTCTCACACACACATATACTCACACTAATGAGGACATGCCAAAGACTTCTGTTTTATAAAAAGTGTAGGCTGGACATGCCAAGAGCTACGGGCATATGATTGATCAGTCTGGTGATGCAGACGTGCCCTCATTACTGTTACACACCTGGGCTCACATTCCCTCTTTGTGAGTGCAACTTCTGCTTCAAACTTTTGTTTAGTCTGGTTTGGTTTAATTTTAGAGGCTGAATAGAAATGCAGTGGCTTTAATAGAGACGTTGTGATATGCTGCTTAAGATATTGCATATTTAAGAAGCATATATATAGTAACTTCATTGTCATTAATTTCAATTTAAGTCATAAACGCCACAAATGTCTTGTAATAACCACCAGGGTTTTTTCCAATTATTATTAAAATTAGTTTTCTTTTTTTCTTTCTATTTCATGAGTGCCATACAAAGAGAAAAGGTGTGTTTATATTTAGTGTTACATTCTGTTATGATCACCAGCGATCTATTGTTTGAGATCTCTGGAAACTACATATCCCATCATGCACCTCATTCACACACCAGTCCCAGTTC